TTATTATGAACGTCACCGAGTCACGCTCTGGGCACTGCGGCATCCAGGTTTCTCCCCCCAGCGCAGACCCTGACTTGGCTGCTCCTGGATTCTTCCCCAGACTCTACAAAACGATGCCTCCGTTCTCTTTCTTGAGGACACTGGGGCACAGAGGGGTTAAGTTGCTTGGCGCGGGCCACACAGTGCAGGAGCGAGGCGGCTGGCCTGGGGACCACAACTGTCAGAACTTTGGAAGGAAAAGGCTGAGATGGGGGTGGCAGCAGCTGGGACCCCGGGGTTCAGATCCCTCGGTTTCAAGCCAGGCGGCGGGGGCGAGGTGGGATGAGGTCCCACAGCGACTGGAGGAGACAGGAAGGAGGTCTTGGTGGCACTGGCGGTGGCGATGGCTCCTGGATCTGGGACTGCCTGCCCTAACAGTAGTGAGCTCCGTCCTGAGGTTCGGGGAGACCTCCGAGAGGCAGCTCATTCTCCGGTTCTGAAAGGTTCGGTTTCGTGAGAGCAGCATAGCTGGGAGCAGGCCTGAGGGGGACCGCCCGCCGGAACCCCGCACCCCTCCTCCCGTTCCCCCGCGGAGACCCTGCCCCCCTCCCAGCCGGGTCGTCCAGCCCCTGGCAATTTCCGGCCCCCTCCAATTGGCTGCGGGGGCCGATGACGTCATTGGTTGCCATGGCGAACACCCGCATCAGGACGTGGGCAGCCTGGAGCCCACCCAGGTAAAAATAGTCCTGTGTCCCCAAGCAGCCGCCCCAATGTGTGTGTTTGGGGGGGGGTGTCCCGAGACCCAGTTTCCCATCTCCCCCTCGACCGAGAGTCGTGGGCACCTGGCTTCCCTCAGTTTCCCAGCCTGTGAAACGGCCCCTGCACCTGGGGCATAGTAGAGGCTCAGTAAATGGGAGTCCGATTTTCCAGGATTGTGATAGCTTCTTCGTAGGCCCTCGCTGAGCTCAACACACAACAAAAATGATCATGTTACCCCAGAGTCCTGCTGATGTTACCTCCAAATTACAGGTGGGAAACTGAGGCACATCATCACAGATCACTCTCACCACCGGAAGGAAACATAACAGAACTGGAGGCAGGTCTGAATGTCCCTAGATTCTGAATTTGTGCCATCCAGTCTTTTCAGAATTAAAAACAAACAAACAAACAAAAACTCTTGGGTAGGATCTCTCTGAAGGTGGACCCTGGAGTCACAGTGGACCCCAAACCCAGGGCTTTCTAGCTACCTGTGGTAGAGGCACCCAGAGTTGATGCAGGCCGTTTGTTGAGCTCTAAAAGGAAGGTGCAGCTGGTGCAAAAGCCCTGAGGCAGTAGTCTGAGTCCAGTTTGTGGAGTGAATGGAAAGGAGGCACTGGCTGCAGGGGAAATTGAAGGAATGACTTGGGGTGTCGCTGGATCAAGGGCCAGGGTTCAAAGTGCTTGCTGTCTAAGGATGATCTCCCCCCCCCTTTTTTTTTGTCATTTCAGAAGGAGCTGAGCCTGCCTCGCCGAGGACGGGGGTGAGTTCCTCTGGGCCCGTGGTCCTGGGTACAGAGTGGTGAATGTAGGTAATGGTCACTCCGAGGCTTCTCACCGCCAGCCTGCCCTGGTGTTTGGAGTGCTCCCTGAGCACGTGGGAGGCTGGCCGGCCGCCCGGAGGCCCAGCCTGTATGCAAATGAGGGACCTGAAGCGGGGAGGAGCTTGGTCGCTGGGCCCTGCTCTGGAGTCCGGAGTCGGATCTGGGGCGCCCAGCCCCGTACACCCAGAGCAGCCCGCACGCCCCCCACGGCGGGCAGCTCACCTCCGTTCAGGAGTGCGCGTCGAACATCGTCCTCCTAAGGGTCACATCGGCATTCCTGTAGGTTGGCAGTTTGGGATCCCCAAAGCTCAAGAGCCTCTTGTTCAAAGTGTCGCCCCCACTTAAGGTGGGAGAACCAGAGCCCGGAGGGGCGTCCTTGTGCTCCCGTCTGACGGCTGGTGAGCGCGGGCACGCCCTCTTCGCGCGAGGCCTTCGCCCGAGTCGGGGCTGGGAATCGCTCAACAGACATTTCTGGGGCACCTGCTGTGTGCTGGGTCTTGTTTGGGGCACAGGGGACCCAGAAACAAGTGAATCGCAGACCTGCCCGTAGAGCTAGTGCGGCCGAGAAGGAGCCCGAGGGGCTGGCGGCAGCTGTAGCCTGAGATCTGGGGGCTTCTAGGAGGAGGTGGCCTTGACCCTCGATCTGGAAGGGGAGGAAAAGTGGCCCCTGGGAGGCTGGGGGCAGGGCACCCCGGGTAGAGGTTAGCGGTGCGGGCAAAGGTCCTGAGGTGCTGAGCAGCTGGCGTTGGAAGACGGCAGGGGGCAGGGCGGCTGAACCGAGAGCGAGGGGAGGTGGGGGGAGAAAAGGAGGAGGATGAGGACGGGGTCACAATGGCTCCCTAGGCCAGGCCATCTGCTCTTGTTGGAGTGGGGATGGCGCAGCTGGTGGGGAGGGGCCTTAGGGACCCAGGAGGGGAGGGACTCGGACATTGCCCGGAGGGCGGGCACTGTCCCTGGCCTTTGCCCAAGCTGGGGGCAGGGTAGTGGGCAGTGAATCGACCGCGAAGGGCGTAGTCCGGGGCCCTAGGGCAGGACGGGGCCACAGACCCCCGAGGAGTTGCCCCCTCCCTGCCCCCTGCCTGACAAGGTCCACCCTGGGATCAAGGGGTCGCAGGCGAGACACCCATCCTCAGATCTGTGCGGCCGAGGCTGAGAGGAAGGGACAGCTAGGGCTGGGAGCGCCGCAGGGGGGCGGTGCGGGACAGCTTGGCGGAGTGGGGTGAACTCGGACGTGGATGCCGAGAAGGATGTTTCCAGCAGAGGCAGCCGCGCGAAGGAAAGGCCTGGAGGCGCGTCGGGGCCTCTGGTCTGCGTGGCGATGCTGAGAGGGGGGACGCGGTGACGGGGCTGGGCGGAGCGCGGGCATCCTGGGTGCCCGACACCGAGGCCAGGCGAGGGCGGAGCCGGCCGGGAGGAGGGGCGGGGTCGGACGATGGGGCAATCGCGCCGCGCAGGCGGCAGTGACCGCCCTTCCTTTGGGGCCACGCAGCTGGGGACCTGGGGACCCCGCGTCCTCGGAGCCTTCCAGAGAAGGGGGCGGCGCCCACCGCTTCCTTCTCCCCGCCGCGCGACCCCTCCTGCCCGCCGTGCTTGCGCGCAGGTGCCGCGCTCCGAGCCCCGCCCCGGGGCGGAGAGAACCGCCCCCCGCGCCCCCGGTGGCCCAGCCTCCGCGCCGGTCCGCCGCACCCGCCAGGCGCGCCGCCCCTCGGTCCGTGTCTGTCCGTGCGACCGATCGCGCCACGATCGGGGCTTGGGAGCCGCCCGGAGGACGTCGTTACCCGGCCGCGTAGACGCGGCCCCAGCCTCGGCATGAAGTCCCGCAGGGACAAGCTGCACATCCCGGCGCTGACCCTCGAGTGAGTGCCGCGCCGGGCGGGGAGGGGGACCGGCGAGGACAGGATGACAACCACCCTCCCAGCCACCCCGCGTCTCGGTTGGTGTCGCCGCCTCCGGGGAGCCTTCCTGGCCCCTCCCTCGCGGCCTGCGCTGAAACCCAGAATCCCGGCCTGGGGCCCCTCCTCGCCCTGAGAACCACTGCCGGGGTCTGGTCTCCGGATCCGGCCACACTCAGAGGCAACCGGCCTCTTTCTTTGCAGTCTGTCTCCGAGCAGCCAGAGCCCGTCGCTGCTGAGCCCCAGCAGCCCCTGCAGCCCCTGTAGCCCCTCCCTGGGCCTGCACCCCTGGAGGTAAGTGACCGTCGCCGGCACCCCAGAGCCTTGGAAGGCTCCAGACCCAGCTGTCTCCCCAGGGTACTGTAAGCTGGTGACATCACCTCTCAGGACCTCAGTTTACCCCTCTTTCTAATGGCTGGCCATGCACACTGGGGCCATGATGGGGAAATTCCATTTGCAGGCCTGGCCAGCAGGTCCTCATCTGACAGGTGGCCAAGGCTGGCCAGAACTTGAGCTGTTGCCCAAGGACTTCCCCCAGACAGGTGCTGGATTCCCAGGCTGCTCTGGGCAGCGACCTCGGGGACCTACGTGGAACTCTCCTCCCTCTGAGCATACACACACTCCCAAGCCCCAGAATCCACCACTAGAGCCCAGGCTTGGAGCCCTGTGCACCAGGCTGAACCAGACAGAGCGGTCAGGAGGAATACCCAGCCTGCCCGAGTGCCAGTCCGGCTCCAGGCCCGCATTCCCTCCCTAACACTGGCGGGAGGTCCCTGCTTAACCCCATTTCCCAGCTGAGGAGATTGAGGCCCAGGGGAGAATCCTATTCTTCTGATTTAGTGTGTCTGGGGACTAAGGATCAAGGCCAGATATGCCACCAGAGTCTGTCAAGGTTTGAGTCACTCTCTGTGACTGGGCAGGACTCAGGGTCTTACCACTGTACCGGGAAGAATGTTATGGACTGGAACCCAGGGGTGCTTAACCAATGGGCCACGTCCCCAGACCTTATTTATTTATTTAGAGAAAGGATCTCATTAAGCTGCTTAGCGCCTTGCTAAGTAGCTGAGGCTGGCTTTGGACTCATGATCCTCCTTCCTCGGCCTCCTGAGCTGCTGGGATCACAGCCGTGGCCACTACATCCAGCCTTTCCAAAAGCTTTTCTTTTTTAATATTTACTTTTTAGTTGTAGGTGGACACAGTATCTTTATTTTTATGTGGTGCTGAGGATCGAACGCAGCGCCTCAAGAGTGCTAGGTAAGCGCTCTACCGCTGAGCCCCAGCCCCGGACTCCACATGTTTTAATAAGAGAGAACAACATGGAGCCCACACTGGGTGCCTGGCAGTTGGCAAGTTACTGTCATTCAATCAGCAAGTGTTTATTAGACACCTACTGTGTGCCTGGTGCTAAACATAAATGTGAACAAGAGGAACACATTCTTTCCTCCAGGGAATTCTCAGCCAGCGGGAGGAGATGGCGATGAGCAAGCGTGTGGATAAACAAGACCCGTTCAAGTGGGGAACTCATGGGGAGTTGCTGTTTGAGCCCAGGCATGGACAGATCTAGGCAGAAATTGGTAAAGGCAGTGGGAACGGGATATGCAAAGGTCCTGAGGCAGGATGAGAAATTTTAAAGCTTCTGTCACTGCCTTGGGCAGGGAAAGATATTCTGGGGACAGGCATGGATGTGGCAGAGACAAAGAGGTAGATAGGGCAACATTTGGACGGAAGAGAGTAGGGCCTGGAGCAAGTTGAGAAGCAGGGACTGCTGTCACCCCCATAGAGGAGAGGAGAGAACGAGCACACAACCAGAATGTACTGCCCAGAGATGCCCTGGGAGAGCATCAGGACAGATGTGACTCTGAGCCCTTGGCCTCCACCCCAGTGAGGACAGGAGGGGAGGGAAGGAGCCCTGGGTTGGGCAAGGCGGAACAGACTTAACCAGAGGAAATGGAGGCAGTTTGGGGCCAGAAGGGAGGCCACCAGGATGCCTCACTTACCACCAGGGGGCAGCAGAGCCAAACTACCTCGGGCCTTGCCAGCAAATGGGTCTCTGCCTCCTGGAGGCCCCAGGAAGCCTTCATTTGTCCCCTTAGCCCCCAGGGCTCTAGAGGCCATGGTCCCTGGTCCCTGCCCCCCACTTCCTCCCCAAACCTCTCCCCATCGCTCAATCTGCTCTAGTCAAAGAGTCTGGGGGAGCTGGTCATCCTCGGTGCAGGCTGCTCAGGCCCCAGCACCTTTGGGATCATTCCCCCTCTGCCCAGGTCCATGAAGCCCTCCAACGGGCAACTGCGCCGACTTCTTTCCAGATCCCGGTCACATCGGTTATGCTCGTGTCCCTCCCTCTGTCTCCACCAGGAGTGCGACCTGCGCGTCTTCTTGTGGGGTCAAGTTGATTTTCTCCCTCGGAGGTTTGGGAGCCCCAGACCTGAACCCCGTTATGGTCATCTGTGTCCTCAGGACAGGGCCTGGGATCCAGCAGGTGCTCGGCGAATGCTGGTGGCCTGGGTGAATGGGGACAGCGGGAAGGTGTCTCCTGTGGTGGCGGGATGGAGAGGTGGTGTTGAGGAAGGTACGAGGCGGACCTGGTGTTCAAAGAGGCTGTTCCAGGCAGGAGCAGCACTGGGAGGCCCTGGGACGCGCCTGGGACCTCAGAGGCCAAGGGCAGGAAGAATGTGGCTTTTGTATCTGGGGCACTGGGAGCCCTACAGGATGTGGGGTCAGGAGAGGCACGGACGGGGGATGGGCCCGTGGGGAGGGCAGAAGGGCTGCGGGGCGGACCAGCAGCCAGTCAGGGGGAGGCCTGCAGACCCACTTACCCAGTCCCTAGCACAAGCCCAGAGAGGCAAAGGCCAAGGTCACAGAGTGGATGAGGGACCTGGGTAAGAGCTGAACCTTAAGAGGGATTCATTCAGGGATTGTGCGGTTCTGCTCCAGAGCACCGAGGAGCCGTGGGGGTGTGGGCACAGGGGGGCCCCGTCTGATGGGCGGCCGGAGGGGTCAGAGCTCAGCTCTTCTGGTTTGTCTTTTTGCGGGGGGATGGGGAGTACCGGCAATTGAACTCTGGGGTACGCAACCACTGAGCCCCATCCCCAGCCCTGTTTTGTATTTAATTGTGAGACGGAGTCTCACTGAGTTGCTTAGCACCTCGATGTCGCTGAGGCTGGCTTTGAACCCGCGATCCTCCTGCCTCAGCCTCCCGAGCCCAGCAGCCCTTCTGTTTTTATGGGGCTGGAACCTGGGGCGCTCTACCACTGAGCCACATCCCCAGCCCTTTCTTTGTTTTATTTTCAAGACAGAACCTTGCTAAGTTGCTGAGACTGGCCTTGAACTTGTGATCCTCCTGCTTCAGCCTCCTGAGTGGCTGGGATGACCGGGGCCTGCCTCTGCGCCTGGCCAGAGATCAGCTCTTCAAGGCTGGCCTTCTCCGTTTCCCCGGTGGCAGGCCCTGTGCTGTGGGGGGAAATGAGGCCAGATGGGCCTGGGAGAGGCCGCTGCTGGGGAGGCCAGGGCAGTGGGCAAGTGTGATGGGGTAGGGGTTGCTGGGTGTACCTGTGGCTGGTGACAAGGAGCACCTTGTGTATGGAGCGTATGCAGAGGTGTGTCTGGGACACATGGGTGGGGCCCGTGGCTCAGATGCAGAGACAAAATGTGGAGTCTGTGGCTCCATCCCCAGAACCGGGAGGCTCCGTTCCCTGTACCGAGCTCAGACCAGATGCTGGCCTGGGAGCTTAGGTGGCCCCCGCCACCCCCACCTCAGGACTCACCGCTTGCCCTCCCTCAAAACAGGTCGCCATGCATGGACTTCTCCTCCTGGCCCCACCGCAGTCTAGACCCCAGTCCCTCCCACATGCCGTCCAAGTCTCCTGCTGGCCTCCTGTCCCTTCCTATCCTGTCCCCCACAACCCCTGCGTCCCACGGAGGACATGGTGGATTCACAAACACAACCCAGATGGCGCCCCTTCCCGGCTCCCCGCTGCTCCTTCGCCTCCTCCTGCAGCTGGGAGCCCGTGTGATCAGCCGCCAGCCCCCTCCCTCGCTCCTGCATGGGACGCCCCTTCCCTGTGGCTGGCTGCTCTTCCTTCTCAGTGTCTCTGCTGGCCACAGTGTGACCCTCTCTGAGAGATCTCCCAGCTGAAGCCACCTTGGCCAGTGTGGCACCCACACTCTTTTCCTTTCTCCACTTTGGCGTTTGACATAATATTGTCCACTTCATCGTTTCCTGTTTGTTCTCTGCCACCCCAGACTGGGGACCTCTGAGGACAAGGAAATTGTATGGCCTGGTCCCCACTGGGTCTTCAGAGTTCAGCACAGGAGTAGGCATAGAGTAGGTGCTCTATAAATGTTTGCTGAGTGAATGAGTGACCGGATACCGGTGTCTGAACTCCAGGTCTGGGGAGCCTGGGGAAACACCCAATAGGGTGGGGCACCTAGGAGTGGCACTGGGGATAGAGGGGCCCTGGCAGAGGATCTGGGAGTGACTTGTGAAGAGGGATGAGTCAGGACTCTACACAGGGCATCAGCGCCCACCTCAGCCTCAGTCTCCTGGTCACAGATATGCAGTCTGGCTTCAGCCAGACCTCAGCTGAGTTCCAAATGCTCCTGGCCCAGGAAGAGACCGCCCTCAGAACGGCTTCCTGGTTTCCAACACCTGGCTTCCCGAGACTGTCCTGAGAGGAGGAAGGAGACATCCCTCCACCTAGAGTGGCATCCAGAGTGAACGCACATAGAATCCCAGCCTCGTGCCAGGCCCTCCCTGCCTCTCCAGTGCCACCCCGTGTTCACCCCGGGGCCTGTGACAGTCGAGGAAACAGGCCAGGAGTTAGTGTGATGCTAACGGTTATGGGACTTGTGTCGCAGGGCGAACGGGAAGCTCTGTGGGCGCCACCTGCCTCTTGGAATCCTGGTGACAGCCCAGCGCTCTCCCGTCGTCCAGTCGAGGAGACTGAGGCTGGAGAAGCTAACTGCTGACCGAGGCCCTCTCCCATTACACACGGGCATAGGAGGCCAGGTGCTCAGGTTCCATCTGCCCGACACTCCCCCTGGTACCCAGTGGTGGGGGACGCGGGGACTCCCAGGGGTCCCCAGCCAGAAGACGACAGGGCTGCCAGGGAAGGAAAGCTGGGTTTGCCACGCTGGATTCCAAGCAGTGGAGCCAGCACGAGCCGGGCCAGGACGCTTGGGTGGGTCTCGAGTGCCACACCCAGAAGGGCTTAGGGCGCCGGGAAAGAGGAAGGGGACAGTGATGGGATTTACATTGGGGGAAAATAGGCAAGATCCCCCGCTCCCACTTGTGGAAGTGCCGCCAACGCCCCGCCCCCGACGCCTGGGGCCCT